TCTATACATATTCGTAACGTCAGGAGAACAGCCGGACCTGAAAATGTAAAGGGATGGCCTACCTGAAGCCCAGGGAAATTCACAACAGGTATTTGCGATTCCTTCCTTTCTCTTTCCATCTGTAGTAATAGTATTTTCGTTTTTTCAGTTTATTTTCTTGTTGATTATTACGGTTTATTAGCTTCTTTCATTTATTTCATTTTATTTTGTCAATTCATTTTTATTCACTTTTACTGTTTGACTTTACCTTACCATACACATAAATTCTAGATACTTCCCAGTTTCTTCATTTCAGTGTTTTTGATTAATATGATGTGACAAGTTGCTTTCTTTTTTTTTCTTTTTTTTTATAAGTTAGATCAAACTTTCGTCTCAGTAAAGTCTAAACTCCCATCAGCTCTTAATGACACTGGTAAGTCAACAAAACCGACGAAAGGTTTTTTCGTGCAAGCTCTCTAATGATTCTTGGTTTAAACAAATAAATGTGCTAGAGTTATTTTATTGTTAGTCTGGAGGACGTGGGTTTTGTACATCAAGATGGCACTGCTCCATAGCTGTTTCAGAGTGTTTTGATAAAGATTTTTGTTGAAAAAAAAATTGTTCAAGTGTATCCAGCAACAATCCAGACTGATTCAACACAAAGTGATAGTTTCAAAGAAGTCACCAGTGATCTTACCCTGTTATTAAACACTGTATACAAGTGCAATGATTTCTGCTCCATCATTGTTTCTCTAACCACCTTGCTATCTCTCTATCCATCTATCGACAAGTCTATTCATCCATCTATCTGCTCTCTTCTAGTCTTTCTTGCTTTCCTGTTCCTTATACCCCATCCTTTACCTCTTCCTCTACTCTTTCTTCTCCTATCAGGTTGCAATCATCCCTAAATACGCATCTAAAAACCAAAAACCCCTTACACAAACCCCCCTTTTTTCCCCTGTGGCTAATTCGAAGGGGCATAGAGGCAAAGCAGGGCAAAGGTGTAGATGTTCCACGTGCCATAAACCCCAGTGAAGAAACTGCTTGTATATTTCAGTTCGATTTCCCAGAACCACTGTAGCTCCGAGACCTGAAAGAGATTTTTATTTACTCAATGGTTATTTTTTGTAATTTTTAGCAACTTCTGCATTAATAGCAATTCTAACAAATTTTACATACATAGTAATTCTTAATAAATTCTACATTCACAGCAATAAGATTAGTATATATAAATACTTCTATTAAAAGATTCTACAATTCTCAGAACAAACGGAAATTCTGGATAACATATCTAATACTGATAAAGAATGACATTGCACTACTTGAATATTTGGAAAAAGTTTTTTTTTTATATACATGTATAGAATTCTTATTATCTTGTGCCAACTTTTCTGTTTTTTTCCCCCTATCTTAATTTCAAGCAAAGATTTCCATGTTAATCATAAGTCAATTCTTTTATGCTAATTCCTCTATGTTACTTTTTCAACTAACCTTTCGAAGGACGAAGTAAATGACGGTAAGTACCACACATATAAGAGTTACTACCATCATGGACTTGTAGCGTTTAAGGGCACTTATGTTTTTAGATCGATCTTGATTCGACAATGACTGATATTTCAATCCGATGTCTGTGAACGCCTGTCAAATGAAAAAAAAAGTTTTTACATATATAGGCCTATTACTGATTGCTTTCGGTTAAAACAGAATATGCTGCCTCAGTAATTATTTTACGTAGCTATGGGGTTCCGTTTATTTTGATAAGCTACATGTAATATGGGGAGGATTTTACGTAATAGTTTAGTTATTTAGAAGAACATTGTCGTAATAAAATATATCATGAGCTTGATCAGTGCACTTCCTCTGGTTTTCTAAACGAGTTACTATCATACTGACTTTGAAACATATCCTCTATTAAAAAAAAAAAAAAATGTAACGATAAAAACAATAAAAGAATGAAACACGTTTACCTTCCACATCAGATAAGAAATATAACAGAAGTAGACCCCTGCAAAAATGCATTCTAAGATTGCACCGGCCGAGGTGCTTCTAGCCCACTGGGAATAGAAGGGGTTCCTCAAGAGGCCTCCGAGATGCACCCAGTTAGGAGAGAACAGCAGCAAGCCTACCAAGACTGGAACCATGCCAGGGAACCAAATGCCGTCGGATTTGGATTTCTTGGCATCCTGTAAGGAGAGAAGAAAAAAATATAAGTGTGTCGAGAGAGAGGGTGGGAGGGGGGGGAGGAGAAGAGAGAAAGAGAGAGAGAGAGGGGTGAGGGGGAGGAGAGAGGGAGAGAGAGAGAGAGAGAGAGAGAGAGAGAGAGAGAGAGAGAGAGAGAGAGAGAGAGAGAGAGAGAGAGAGAGAGAGAGGGGGGGGGAGAAGGAGGAGGAGGAGGAGGAGGAGGAGGAGGAGGAGGAGGAGGAGGAGGAGGAGAAGAAGAAGAAGAAGAAGAAGAAGAAGAAGAAGAAGGAGGAGGAAAAGGAGAAGGAAGGGAGAGAGAGAGAGAGAGAGAGAGAGAGAGAGAGAGAGAGAGAGAGAGAGAGAGAGAGAGAGAGAGAGAGAGAGAGAGAGAGAGAGAGAGGGGGGGGGGGGAGAAGGAGGAGGAGGAGGAGGAGGAGGAGGAGGAGGAGGAGGAGGAGGAGGAGAAGGAGGAGAAGAAGAAGAAGGAGGAAAAGGAGAAGGAAGGGGGAGAGAGAGAGAGAGAGAGAGAGAGAGAGAGAGAGAGAGAGAGAGAGAGAGAGAGAGAGAGAGAGAGAGAGAGAGAGAGAGAGAGAGAGCTATGCCTATTTGGGGAGCCCGGTGAGAGAATCACCTTGTGGCCTAGAATTTTGCTGCACGACCAAAGTGGGGAGACAGAAAACAGTAAAACCTACAAGAATACATGTAACATATTCTTGTCTACAATACACCCTGAAGCAGTGTCCTATTTTTACACAGTCCTTTAATTTCATGTATTACCTGTATGAATACTGTATATTTCAGAATCTTTTGTAAAAAATAATAATAAATACTGGGTCATGTGCTATGATTGGTTTAGTACTGGTCCTCCGGTTCATACCTGGAGTGACCTACGTTAGAGTCCTGGTCAGGGAGGGTTGTTATTTATGCATTGCATTATTACTTCTTTCAGTAATAATGGGAAAAAAATAAAAGCATGTTCAGTGTGCTATGTGTGGAATAAAAGTTTGCAAGCCTAGTTCGTGTGTTAAAAAAAAAAACAAACATCACTAGACAAAGATCTTTACTTCACAATAGTCATGTCATCAGTCTGCCTGCTAATAATAACGGTACAACTGTGCAAGCATGTATCGTACAAAAGCTTGGAATACTGTTTCATTTATTAAAAAGGGGTTATATACGAAACCTTTTTGACAATTAGTTCTAATCGTGTACTATACACACGTACTTCTTAAAAATATCAGATGCTTGTGCCTATGCTAATTTGTGTGAGCGAAAATGTGTGAATCCACCTGTGACTTTTAAAAACGGTTTTTCTACATGATTTCTTTAGCGTTTATCATTCTTCTTCATCCCAGTTTCTATGAAATGCATACGTCGTACCCCCATAACATCTACATTGAGTCTAATTTCACTTATTTGAAGTCAGGTACAGCATACTCACCACAAAGTGATTTCCAACAAAGATTAGCCAGAATGACATCAGGGAGGCATAGAAAATTCCCTGAATTACATCACTGACCAACAGCATCCAAGGGCAGTCGAAAGCTAAAGTCAGGTACTCCAGTGGACCTGAAAGTAATACATCCAGTTTAAGGGTGATGCTGATGATGTTAATGATGATGGTCACGTTAATGATGGTAATAATAATGATTAATAATAATTATGCTATGGTGAGATGGTCTTATTACCACGGTCCTCTGCCATTTTTTTTCACGATCCAGTGGGTTAGTAATAATCGATGATAATAAACAAATACAGTGATAATAATCATAACATTATAATCAATAACAGTTCAGCTAGATATTAGGAACAAGTACCCAATATCTAGCAACTATCTACTAACTCCTCCCCGCTAATAAAAACACTTTACAGCTATTTCTTTAGCACAGATAAGAGACAGACTTACAATTCAGAAGTGTGAGAGCAGCACCGAGCACCATCAGCATGTACTCTAAGAGTGCTGGTGGACGGGAAAGCTGCGAGATGCGGCGCCAGAACCAGACCATGATGGCCACAATAATTGGGAAGAAGATGGTCTTGAAGGACACCCACACTTTGGTGAAGCCTCCATTTTGGTGGATGAACTTCGGAGGGAAAAGCAGATGTATTAGCAGTGATTTATTAATATGCAGTGGTGAAATTAAGTTAAGCAATAATTCTGCAATAATTTAATTAATTAGTAATGATTATATCAATCATCATTAATCAATTTATTGGTAAGAGTTCATTTCATTAGCGATAATTAGATTGATTAGCTATTAACCTAATTAGTAATACTTAAAACGAAAAATACAGGAGTATTTAGAAGCATTCTTGAAAGTTCTCATTTCAAAAAATAAAAAATATTACCTATATATATATATACAGTAAAACTCCAATTATCCGAACTGACAAGGGGGACATGGGATTTGTTCGGAGATGGGACAGTTCGGCTATTCGGACACCTAGCGTAAGACTTTCGAAGCATACATTAAAACAAACACACATCCACGTAAACATAACATACTAAGCGAACTTACACTTAGGATTAAATCGAAAACACAAACACAAGAAACGGGACAAAAATATCCAAATTTATATCCTGAGATAAATAGACTGTTCACAGTTTGGGTGAATGACGTGGGGTCATCGTTAGCTGGTTCGAACGTTTGCTGTTTGCCGTGGGGGGGGGGGGGATAGCCATCTTTTCGTTTTAGACTATCCCCCTACTAACTTGACACAGTTCAAAAGTTTATTATATCTTATGGTATCTTCGGATAAAGGCAATATATATTTGTAATATTCCTTTCTTTATCAGCCCATAATATTATGCTTAAATGAATCAAAAATTGTTACGAAAATAATTCATAGAACCGAAGGTGTTCCAAGGATGTAAGCATAAAATGATACATTAATAATACTATCTACTGAACATGAGTCCATCTGACATGTTATTTTTCTTCTACATTAACGTCATACCTAAATATATTCCCCAAATATCCATTCTAATGTTTCATTCAACAAGATACCAATGACTCTGAAACATACATACCTATACAAACTCATAATGTAAATAACGACTACTCTTTCATACAATGTTACTGATGGGCATTTGGCCTCTGAACTTACCGAAACCCACATGTCACTGATGTGGCCCAAGTTTCTATTCATGTCATTTTTTTGGGATGAATCTACGCTGCCCACTGGCAGTCGGACATTCAAGAGATAGAAGTCATGGTGCAGAGATCCCAGTTCAAAGAGTGGCACATGAGAGCAATTATACATGTAACCTGTCTTTTTCTGTTCAATGGAGCAGTCTAAATGCCGCTGCTCAACTGACGAGGCGTATTCTGTCCACTTCCCCTCCGGATCACCTCGATTGCTATAGCCCAAGCGAGCATCTAGGGTCATCACGGCATCTGGGGCTGTCAAGGCAAAACGGAGATATTAATATATTCTCCTTTTCTGGCGACCATCTCTCTTTCATTGAAACTTTTACCTACTGAGTTTGGCAAGCAATAAACATGAAATACATAACACACAAAATAAGCAAATGAAAAAATATTCCAAATGAAGTAGGAATTAAAAACGAGGGCAGCACTTACCCACTTCATACTCATTGTCATAGAAGATATCCAGGTGCAGCATTGCAATTAGGTTCTGTTGCCAACGTGAATAGTCCAGGGAGTAACCATCTTTAGGAAGAGGAATCTGCAAACACAGTACTTGTTATAGGACACAAGTGACCTCTTCAAGCAATTCTGTACTGCTCATTTCCATGAAGCTACTTTCACTTCATATAATTATGTAGTTAATTGAATATATTATGATATATTCAAGGTAACAATGTTTACTTTAAATTAAAATAAAACACTAGATAGGTAAGCAATCCATTCACTCAAAACTCAAAAATAACTTTTGTAACAATAGGTAATCATATATCTGCACAAGCCAAGAAACAGCCTGGGCTCACTATGAACATTCAAGATTTGATTATACATGAATTATACTTTCGCTAAGATAACAGCTACCGACAGACTAGCAAAACCTCTCCTTTATCAATCTTCCTAAAGTTATAAGGAGTATTTAATTTCCTAGCAGACAACTCGACCTCTCTCCATCATGGTGACAGAGTATACGGACTCTTTCAAACACAATAGTAGTCTTTTGTAGTCCTAAAATTACCCTGCACTAACAAAGGCAATCAACCTACCTGGAAACTGAAGACAATGTCATTGGCACTAATCTTCTGCTCCTGAACAATGGGGCTGTCGAAGTCACCGATGCTTTTGCACGGCTGCTTCCCGCGACTCCAGTACCACTGAGTGTTCTTGTAGTTCTTGTCAATGCATTTTGTGCCTAACATGGACATCACAGAAGATGGTGCAGGTGCTGAAGGGGAGGGAGAAGACAGTATTACAGTACAAACTAATCGTATTTCATGATGAGAAAATCTGTATCCAATGTTATTATTCTTGTATTCAATTCACATTTTTAATAATCCTATTGGAATGATGGTGGAAGTATATATAATATATGTATAATATATAAATAAAATAAGATGCTTTTGCATGGCTGCTTCCCGCGACTCCAGTACCACTGAGTGTTCTTGTAGTTCTTGTCAATGCATTTTGTGCCTAACACGTGCATCACAGAGGACGGTGTAGGTGCTGGGGGGGGGGGGGGGGGGGGGGGATTATAAGGTGTTACCTCACGTTATAGTTATCATCATCATCACCATTGGGGAGCTAACGCCGGTAGGGGCGCATAGCCGCGTCCACCCTTCGCTTCCACCTGCGAGGGTCTCTCATGGCGAGCCGCCAGGCAGGGGCCCGGCCCATCTCTAGTTCCTCACGACAGGTTTGATCGATCTGCCCAAGCCATGACCTTCTTGGTCGTCCCACAGGCCTCCTCCACCCAGGGTTGTCTCGAACAGAGACAACCTGATGGGCAGGATCATCCTGCGGGAGTCGAGCCAAGTGGCCATATAGCCTGAGTTGGCGATCACGGATTGTGCAAGTAACAGGTCCTGTACCAGTCTCACGGTGTAGCTGTTGGTTGGACACATGGTCCCGCCAACTGTACCCCATGATCCGGCGCAAGGATCTGTTACAAAAGGCATCGAGACGAGATTCCAAAGCACAAGATAGCGTCCAAGTTTCACTACCATATAGTAAAACTGGCAGTATCAGGGCCTTGAAAACTCGTAGCTTGGTCCTTCTGCACAGGTACCGGCATCTCCAAATACTCTTGTCGAGAGATTTCATGACCCCTGCTGCCAGACCAATCCGTCTACTGACTTCCTGGTCTGACAGCCCAGAGTCATGAACTGCACTACCGAGGTATATAAAACTCCTAGTGACGTCGATGTTTTCACCGCAAGCACGGACCGACTGCACAGGGTCTCCTATTAGGCCCCCAAAATCCTGGATCTTGGTCTTGGTCCAGGAGACCTCTAGCCCCAGGGGCTTCGCTTCATTGCTAAATGCATCAAGAGCCGCCACTAGGGTTTCCAGAGATTCAGAAAGAATGGCAACATCATCAGCAAAGTCAAGGTCTGTAACCTTGATATTGCCCAGAGTTGCTCCACAGTGACTTTGGACAGTAGCTCTACCCAGTATCCAATCCATGCAAGTGTTGAAAAGTGTTGGTGCAAGAACACAGCCTTGCCTCACGCCTTAGCTAACAGGAAAGAAGCTCGACAGGCCCCCACCACACTTTACAGCACTTTCAGTGCCTGTATACAAGTTTGCTATTAGCCCAAGAATCCTTGTTGGAATTCCTCTCAGTCTCAGGATCTCCCAGAGTGATTCGCGATGCACCGTGTCAAACGCCTTCTTGAGGTCGATGTAGGCTGCAAGCAGCCCACGTCCTGAACTCACGACGGCGCTCTACAATGACTCGAAGCGCCAGGATGCGGTCTATTGTGGACTTACCAGGAGTGAATCCAGATTGCTCCGGTCTTTGGTGCCTCAGGAGGTGGTCTTTGATACGTCTCAGTAAGATGTGGGCGAGTACCTTGCCTGGCACACTGAGCAGTGTAATGCCTCGGTGATTGCTGCAGTCCCACCGATCCCCTTTCCCCTTCCAGAGAGGGATGACCATACCCCTCAGTAGGTCAGGGGGAATGGTACCAGGTCTGCCAGATGGCAGACAGGACTGCATGCAAGCCCCTTGCCATAGGTTCTCCACCAGCCTTTAACAATTCAGCTGGGATGCCGCAGACACCTGCTGCTTTACCACTCTTCAGCTTGGAGATCGCCCCCCTGACTTCAGTCAGGGAGGGTGGATCCTCGCTGATGGGTGGGTCTGGCAGAGGAGTCTCAACATTCCCAGCATCCAAGTTAACTGTTGGTGGATCAACCTGATACAGCTGCTCAAAATACTCAGCCCAACGCACACGCACCCCATCAGGATCTGAGATTACCTGACCACTAGCTGAGCGGACTGCCGTCGTCTGTGAGGAGTGCTTGGAGTTCAGCTTTCTCAGAGCTTGGTAGGCAGGACGAAGGTCATTTACTAGGAAACGGCTTTCGACCTCCTCTGCAAGATTACTGATATACTGTTCCTTATCCCTTCTCAGCAGTGACCTAGTCCTGCGCGCCAGAGAACGGTGCAAATTGCGATCCCCTGACAATCGAGCTGCACGACAAGCTTCTGTGGCTTCCAGTGTCTCCTGCGAGATGGTATTCTGTCTTGCTCTAGGGCGTACACCAATGGATTCCTGAGCTAGCATCAAGCGTTTCACGCTTGAAGGAATCCCACATAATAACAGAGTCTGTCAGGCCCTCGAGTGCTGTGAACCGACCAGAGATAGCCTCAGCAAACCCCCGGGCACACTCATCCTCCCTCAGTCTGTCCAGATGAAACACCCTGGGGTGCTCATTTGGTCGACGGGGGGTTCTAAAGTGGACCCGGAGAGTAGCCACAACTAATCTATGATCAATTCCACAGAACTCGGCGCTTCGATACACCCTGCAGCTCTGGAGGTTCCTCCACCGAGTGCTGACAAGGATGTGGTCGATCTCCTTGGCCACACTACCCTGTATCAGCTGTACCAAGTCCAGCGATGCGGGTCAACGCTGATACCAGGAGCCAGAGATCCTCAATTTCTGGGACCTAGCAAAGTCACGGAAAAGGAGGCTATTCTCGCTGCCAGCATCAGCTCCTGAGCCATGGGGACCGACAGACATCTCGTAGCCAGCTCGATCACATCCGGATACCGCATTGAAGTCGCCCAAAACAATACGAATATCTCGCCGAGGACAACTGTCTGCCACAGATGCAAGTTTGGCGTAGAACATCTCTTTCACCTCAAGTTTATATACATCCGTAGGAGCGTACACAGCAATAAGAGACATGAAGCCAAATGACAGCTTCAGTCTCAATATCATTATACGCTCATCGACTGGAGTGACCTCTACTACCGAGGGTTGAAGTCGGCTGGAGATGGCTATGGCTACTCCCTGGAGATGGTGGCCATCGCTGCGGCCCGACCAGTAGTAAGTGTAGCCACCCACACTAATCGTGCCGCTGCCAGGTCTTCTCACCTCCGAGAGAGCAACCACCTCAACTCTCAGCCGCTTCAATTCCCTCGACAGTAGTGGTAACCGATCATCCTGTCGCAGGGAACGGACGTTCCAAGCCCCCACCCTGACAGCCCGCCTGAGGTTTAACCTCTGGCAGTCACTCCGGGTGGGCGCCACCTCTGCCACCCCCACCGACGCCGCCCCATATAGAGGTTGGCTGGCTGGTTATAGTTAGTTTTGTATATACATGTATGTATGTAAGGATGCTTATATACATGCATGTAATATATGTACATGCTTATCATGTGTATGCTCTATCCAAATATTTCGAAATTATGCCGGAGACCCCCCCCCCAAACCCCCACATTCTACATGGAAGGTACCAGGGAAAATTGCTGAGTAAAATGGGAATATACAGAGAATCATTTTACCCGCTAAAGAAATTCTCTCCACGTATCGAAGGCAGGGGGCAGCGGTAGCAGATGAGTAGTTAAAGGATTGTGCAATTGTTTCCTTTCCTTGAACTGATAAAGTACTTATCATAACAATGTTATAGGATAATATCCAAATGTAATACCATTATGTAATGTTATGACCATGCATTAAATGTACCACAGCTTGCCCACGCCTGTGCAGTTAGCCAGGCAAATAAAGGACTAAACTAAACTAAGGGGACAGCGTCGAACAGACTCCCGCAAGTCGGTCTACCCTTCAGTAAAAACGTGGATTCTTCGTTTTCCTGGGCAGGGGTTGGGGGTTGGGGGAGCGGCAGTCACCCAGGATGTGGGTTTACATGAAGTTATGCGACGCTATTCCAGAAAAAAAAAGTTTGGATCACAAAATATGGGACTTAGCAAAAAATTTCCTACTTTGTCCTAACATACTTACCCACGAGTCCACCAATTATAAAGCACAAAACTTGACACAACAAAAGAACACTGATAAATATGTATAATCTGCGGCCATTCATATTTTCTAGTACGGTTCCCAGCATGATGTATTAATATTACGGCCCAAAAATATTTAACAAATAGCAGAGAGATATTGCAGCAACCCACGTCAGAGACACGATAGAAATTTCCTTTTTTTTTTTTTTTTTTTTTTTTTTTTTTTTGATTCGCGAAGCAGAGCCTCGCCCGGGCTATGCCTATTTCGGGAGCCCGGTTGAAATTTACTGTGGAGTGTGCTCTTTTATTTACTCGCCAAATCTGAAGGCTTGTCGTACCTTCGAAACAAATCCCAGATCTGTGGTCCATAACTTGTAACGAAATTGCCATCGTTTGCATAATCATCGAAGACAATAACGCATTCTAACTTTAATTCATCTAAGAATACTTAAGGAGTCTGAGAGGTATCGCACGTTTGGCAGCGCTGGGGACGGGAAACTTCCAAACTATTCCATTTGGGGATTTTTTTTAGCATACCTGGAGCCCCGAAAAATGGCATGACAGTACATGTTCTTGTGATTACTGTGGCAAAGTGTTGTGATGCTGAGTCCCCATGAGTATCCAGAATATAAGCCTTGAAGACTAATTCTGAAACACGTAGTATTACTGTCCGTCTGAAGTTCTGTGGTGTGTGGTAGCGCGGTGGAGTGTGCTAGTGATAAGGTATTGGTATATGGTATGGTAATGGACTGTGACTGAGTGTTCCAGAAAACCAAAGGAAAGATATATATATATATATATATATATATATATATATATATATATATATATATATATATATATACATATGTATGTATGTATGTATGTGTGTAAGTATGTATATATAAGTATGTATGTATGTATATATATATATATGTATATGCATATGTATATATATATATATATATATATATATATATATATATATATCTTAAAGGTAAGTCTTAAAGGTAAGTCTCACCCGTTTCCTGACAGTGCTAAATGTTACCTGAAGGAAAATATTAGTGAGTGTATCGATGAGATGGAGACGCTGAGGAGCCGCCTTCCGGGGGTCCACCTTCCCCATAGACTCATCCTCGAAGTTGGGAAAGAGGACGAACTACAGAAGGCGAGGCACAAGAGATTGTTAGAAGATGCTTGTACTAATAGCGGCTGGTCTGAACTGGTGCGTGATGACTTGATAGTTAAACTGTCACACAAACCTCTCACAGATACGCAAAGACAAGCCCTGTCGTTAGGTTTAAAGTTTGACACTGGTACCCTTAGGAAAGGCATGGCTGATTTCATTGAGTCCAACTACCGCAGAAATCTCTCTCTCTTCGTTGTTCTTCCTGCTGTGAGTACATGTATATATAAATATATTTATTTTTCCTTTCTTTCTTTTTTAGACACTTTAAATACCTAGCCCCTCACTTCCGATTTCTGTCATCCCGGTTTCCCTTGCCACATTTCCAGTTCCTCACATCCTTTCCTTTTTCGTAGGACTCCATATCCCCATTCTTCCCCCATCTCTCCTTTATCCGGATTTCGCAAAAAACACAGCTGATAAGTACCTGTGGCATCGTGAGAGAGAGACTGGCAAGGACGTCCGCTTCCTCTCTCTGGCAAACTTCAGCCTTACGATGAAAAGAAGGGAAAGGAAAACGCAGTAGATGAAAGTAAAGTAACCCAGGCGACGTCGAGTATTTTAATCCTAAAGGGGTCCTTACTCCGTCTGGTAAACTTCAGCCTTACGATGAAAAGAAGGTAGGGAAGGGAAAACGCAGTAGATAAAGGAGAGAAGGTAGGGAAGGAAAACGCAGTAGATAAAGGTAAAGTAACCCAGGCGACGTCGAATATTTTTTACCTTCGAACACCCAACCATCAGCTGAAGACCACCAAGGTTGAGATGAGTACTTATATAGAT